TGATTACGTGTGATAAGATAAGGTGTTTTAGGATCAAATTGTATTGTAATATGTTAAGTTTTATTGAAATGTATGACTCTGTAAAAAAGATAATATGTATKGRMACGTGAACTGTAAATGATCAAGTTGCTGATGAAGTCCCTAGTAAGGTACGAAACGTACAACTAATTCAAAATAAATTGTTCATTAGATTTATTAACCGTCTATAATTCCATTTGAGACTTATATATTAATAAAAATTAATTAATATTAAAAAATATTGCACATGTGAATAATAAATAAACACGTGCCGATAAAATAATGAATGATTGTAAATCAAACAAAAATGGAATGCGACAAAAATTGAAAATTATTTGTACTATAAATTATAATTAGAAAATAAATTTAGATATTATTAAAAACGGAGAGAGAGAAAACAAAAAATATACAAAAATAGATTAATACATGATTCGAGACCGGATATAATGGGCAAAATAGAAAATCTAAAATAAAAAAAAAAGAAAGTCAAATGTGTGAGAACACCTAAAGCTCATATAACACAAGAATGAATACCCTGAAAAATATTTAGGAGAAGTACTAGGGTAGAGTAGGGTAGGTAGTACAGCCGAAGTATATCAAAGTCGTTTGAAGCAACGAGAACGGGGGAAAAAAAAAAAAGAAAGAAAGCAAGACAGAGTGAAATAAAAAGAAAAAGAAACAAAAAAAAAAGAAAAGTAAAAGAGAGAGAGAGAGAGAGAGAGAGAGAGAGAGGGAGAAGGAGAAAGAGAGAAGATTTCGCGTTAAAGCGAAATAAAATGGAAGGAAGAAGAATGGCAGTGACTCAATGAAAAGAAAGAAAAATGTAAAAAAAAAAAAAAAATAATAGAGAAAGATAGAGTAAAAGAAGAGTAAGAGAGTAAGAAATAGAAATAGAAAGAGAGACTAAAAATAATGGCACGGCGAATGTAGGTGAACGAAAGAAAGTAAAAGAAAAAAAGGGGAAAAAGAGAGAGAGAGAGAGACAGAGAAAGAGAAAAAGAAAGAAAGAAAGAAAGACAGATGGAGTGAAAGAAAGATAGAGAGAGAAGGAAAGAGAGAGAGAGAGAGAGAGAGAGAGAGAGCACCATTTAACGCTCGGAAACATACGTGCGTGTTTTTCTCCAACCTTTCACCCGACAGCTCTTTTTCGCTGTCTCGCGTTTGATAATCTCGCGAGTCGAGTTGAGTCGAGTCGAGTCGAGTCGAGTTGAGTTGAGTTGAGTCCGCACCAAAGTCCCGAACTTCCGGAGCGGAAGATAAACGGAACCGGAGACCCTGCTAGCTACGTAGAAAGAAAGAAAGAAAGAAAGAAAGAAAAAATAGAAAAGATAGAAATAAAAAATAGAGAGAGAGAGAGAGAGAGAGAGAGAGAGAAACAAAAAAAGAAAATTGTAAAAATGTTCACCCTCATCCCTTCATTCACCCAATACTCCTACTATCCCCTAAGCTATCATTGATTTTGTCTTTCTCTTTCATTTATTCGTTTATTCATATTATCCTTTTTCCATTTTTAATTCTTTCTTTATTTCTTTAATACTCAACGTTGATTTTATTTTTTAATATAATACCTAATTCGATTTTTATTCTTTATATATATTTATATATATCTTCGATTTTATTTGATACGTAAAATTTTCTCTTACTGATTATTATTATTTATATTTCCTGTATTTGATTTAATTTCATTTTACTTTATCTTATATTTTAATTTCATTCATATTTTTTAAGTTTACTTTTCGCGCAATTATATTTTTTCTCTAACTCGTTTATTTACATCGATTTATTCTTCCTTTTTCTCTCTCTCTCTCTCTTTGTCAGTCTTTTTAATTCATTCACTTTTCATTTTCCGTCTCTCTTGATCTCATTTTATCTCTTACCGATTCATTCTCTTTCTCACTTTAACACATATTCCATCTTTCTCATTACCATTCATTGTTCTCTCTTTTTATTTCGACCTCCTATTTTCTATATATATATCTCTCTCTCTCTCTCTCTCTTTTCCATTTGCTTCTTTTTCTATTCCCATTTCTACACATCCCTCACCCCTAACCCACCCCAGTTTCTCTTTAACTCATTCTTATACTCTTTATATTATACTATACACCCCCTTCTACCTATCCTTTCTCTTTTAACTCATTCCCCTTTTCAGTAACCCTCCCACCACCCTCTTCTTGGACGTTTGGGGGTGACAAGTGAGTCGCTCCGGTGCATTAATCCGTCTAAAAGCTCTGTTCCCGGTACTCATCAGCCTTCCCACTCGCCTTCTTTTCTCTTCTTTTCGTAGAAGAGAACTCCCGTTAGATTCGTTGCTTGTTGAGAAGGAAAAGAAAAAAGAAAAGAAAAAGAAAAATACGGTAAAATATTCGTATACGGGGGGTAGCTCGTTTAATGACGCGAGTTGCGTGCAACTCGATATTTAAAGGAATAAAAAAAAGAAAAAAAATGACGATAAAACGCGCACGCGTAGCAAAAAGAGAAAACGTAAACGATTGAATAGAAAAAAATATATTCAATAGATATAGAAAATAAAAAATAAAAAAAGATTCCCTCGTCAAAGTAAAATATCATACACGGAGAAGAGAAAACGGGGCTTTATTTCTAAAGGTTCTTTTTTTTTATTTCTTTTTTTCTCATCGATACAAGTACGTTCGATAATATTTTATTTTCCGTCTTTCGAGACTATATCGGAAAGGAAACGTATTTAATAATATTTCATATCTTTTTATATATATATATTCGTGAAAAAGAATAAAAAAAGAAATAAATAAACAAATAAAATACGTGACTTAGTTTAAAATACGTGTGTAGCAGTATTGTATAATAATTAACATTTGCATTGAATTAACGTTGTCTAAAATTGATAATTATGCACTTTTCTTTCAATTGTAATAATTTACATTCGAAACAAATGTAATGTTTAAACTTGAAAAAATATATATATTTATATCAAATGAAACACTTTATTTATTCGTAAAAATAATACGATTTGACGTTTTCTAGGAACCTATCTATCGTGTTACAGTAAAAGATTATATCTGTACATTGAAATATATATTTATAAATCGTCAGGGTAATATTTCGAGGAATTCTAACCTGATAATAAATTTAATAAAAATTAAAAAAGAAAAAAAAGAGGAATAAGAGATCAGACACTGACCTTCAAGTTCGACGACCTTTCCAGCCCTTTTGAGTGCCTTAACAGCTTCGTCGTGGGTAGCTTCGCGTAAATCTTCACCATTAACAGCAAGTATGGCATCGCCCACGTATAATTGCTCAGTAGCATCGGCAGCCATGCCTTTAAATATCTTCGATATCAATATTGGCATTTTATTTTCTTTACCGCCTTTTATTGAAATACCTAGTCCGTTGTTATCACTTTTAACGACGCGTACGATGCGCTTTTGATTCGCGACGGAATCCGGTACGTCGGGATCGTTTAAACTGTCGACGTTGTTGTTATTGATGTTACCATTGTTGAGAACGGTGTTAACAGTATCGCAACTCTCGTCAAGTGATATACTCAAGTAATCATCTTCGAGTGAGACGAATACGCGATACCATTGACCACGCACCTGTGTCTCGAGTACACCAGCACGACCGGAAGTAGACGACGAACCACCACCGGTGGTTGTCGTAGTTGTTGACGACGAGGAAGATGAGGCCGCTGCGGAAACCACCGAACCGAGTCCCGTAACACCCATGGCCGCCGAACTAACTTGTCCGCTACCACTCAACTCGACCATTTCGATTTCCTCGAAGGCTCCGCGCTTGAAAAGAAATTATTTTATTTTCTTATTTTTCTAATTTATTTGATTTTATTTTATATAACTATAACAGCAATGTAAATATGTATTTTGTATTTTATTTTATTTTATTTTATTTTATATAACTATAACAGCAATAACAACAAAGAAAAGATTTTAACTCTATAAAATAATAATCATTAAAATATATAACTTTAAGTAATTTTAAAAAAAGATATATACAATTTTTGTGCAACGTGGATATTTTTATTTTCTAAAATACCTGCGGTTCGAAAAAATATATCATGCACATATAAAAAGTTGTATTTGTAATAGACTGCAATTTCGAAAGGTATCGGGTGTTTTTCGAGTATATAAAAAAAAAAGAAGAAAACAAATGAACGAATTAATAATTCATAAAGAAATTAAATTCTTGTGCTACGTTGGATGTTTTTACTTTTTTAAATTTCCTTATCTTCAAAGGGTTGAAGAGAATTCATGAAAACTTATATTGCAATGAAATCTACGAGAATAATAATTTTCTCTCTCTCTCTTTCTCTTCTTTCTTCCTATCTCCAGTTTATATATTATTTATTATTATTATCTTTTTCTTATATATATATTTATATAGAGTGTCCCACATAACTCTAGTCACGATTTTTTAAGTACTTGCGATAACCTGAACAAAAAAAAATACTTTAACTAAAAGTTGCAAATATGCACAATTGACAGCATTATTGTATTCTCTGACATTTTTTTGAACCTTTTGCAGATTAATTTATAACTCGACAAAGTATTATACGCGTAGACAAAAGAGAGAGTGTACTTTAATTAAATATAAAAATCATTCAAAAAATCCGCCTACCATAAGTATAAAAAAAATATTTACCTGAACTTTCAAAATAAACGGTCCAAATATAGATACCAGTGTGAGTGATATGTTAACGTAAGAGACTAATAATAACAGGAACCCATGGATACAAAATTTCTACTATTATTGAAAACAAAAAGTAATCGAGTAATTGAAAAAGAAACAATGTGTTTTTTTTTCAGTTAACATTCGCAACCATAGGAACGAGAACATTTGCAATGCAAAATTGTATGGATAATTAATATTGTTCTTTTCAAAAATGGGCCAATTTACGTCATAGACTCACATGGATACCATATTTAAACGACCTATCTATCTATTTTATTCGTTCCTCATTCACGTGAACTTTTGACCTCTTCCAATTTTTATCTATCTCTCTCTAATTCTTTTTTTTCATCGCGCCAAGTTAAATCTACAAATTTTTCGACTAAATCAATTAATATGATTACTGTAGATTTTTAATTAATCTCTCTATGATTTGTATGTGATACAGCTATTAAACGCACGTAAAATATTGTCAAATCCGATTAATATTATTATAATTATGCGATCGTAACAACGTTAGTAAAATAATACGACCAAAAAAAAAAATACTTATTCCCTGACTCAAACAATATACAAAAATTGGCAAATTATTTTGTTATATTAATAATATTTTACTCTACTTTTGTTTATTTATACAATTAATATACCAATGCATATTTTTTAAATATATGTATATTTAATATACGAAAAGAAACTTTATCTTTATCAAACTAATATACATATTTTATCTGTTTATACGTTACGGTAATTTGTTAAAAGTGTCTAATTATTTCTCGTAAAACTTAGTTATCTTATGAATTAACTGAATTATACTATTTAACGCTGACGTATATATGTATTATATAATACATATAAATATATGTATGTATGTGTATATCGTTACGGGGTCGTGGTTTTTCGAAAATCTCGTTTGGAATCATCGGTCTCGAATGGACGCGTCGCGATTCATTTTCCAACACTGGCCGCTGCATTAATCAATTTCTGCGGTTGCTCACTTCGGATTATTTATGTAATTCGAGACGGGAAAATAGCAATACGAACGAAGCGAACGAAGCGAACGAAGCGAACGAACGCCAAGTTCGCTAGTGGTTACGTGGTAGTCTCGATTATTTAAAGATTTCCTTCATGGTTCGTTAATTGTGATTAAAAAATAAAAAAAGAAAAAAAAAAAAAAGAAGAAATTGAATAAAAAGAAAAAAAAAAAAACTCCGATAAAATTGGCACTTAAATTTTACTCGTCGTTAAGATGTTAAAAATGTATACGAATGCGTCGAACACACACACACACACACACACACACACACACACGCATATACAATAACGGTAATAATAAAAATTTATCATAAAATAAAAATAAATGAAAATATAATTAATAAAGTTTTTTTTCGTGTATAAAGAAAAAAAAAAAAAAAAAAAAAAAAGAACAAAAGCGTGGACGTACGAATGTTAGAATGATTCCGGAACGGAAAGGAATTTCGTTTAATTGATGCAAAAGTTGGGTCAGCCGTAAACAGGGTGGCAGTTAATTTTCACACGATTGTCGTCCCTTCGGCGTGCAGTTTTACAAAGCATTTCCACTGGCGTCCACGATAATGATATTACCGCCCTAGGGAAAATGGATTAACGGAAATAATAGGTAGAGGAAGATAAAAAAAAAAAAAAAAAAAAAAAAAAAAAAAAAAAAAAAGCGACCAGACGAACGAGTCAGATCACTCTGCCGATTATGTTGGAAGACTAATTTTTTTATCACTCCCATGTCATTAAGGAAACCTTTTAAAGATAAAATAATACCACCCCTGTGAACAGATATAAAAAAAAAAAAAAAAAAAAAAAAAATAAAAGAAAAAAAAAAAAGCATCATTCAAAGAAGACAAAAATGATGAGAACACTTTACACGCTTACCCCTTCTTTCCTTTTTTTTATCACGTTAAATTACAACTTTGTATTATTTATAAATTATATTTTTGCCTTTTATATAACTTTTTTATTTCGTTACATATCAAATTTTATACAATCAAATTTTCAATCTTTAGATACAATTATTAATTATTTGATACATAGAAGTATATATATATATATATTGTATATCTTCACTTATAAATATTGTTATTAAAAAAACTTTATCACCGAGTTGTTAGATTTTAATCGAAATAGAAATTCACAAAAATTGTGACGATTGCGTTATTAAAAATCTGTTATTATCGATCGAATTTATTCATGAATGGAAAAGATTAGAAATAAACGAATTTGTTTTATAGATCGAAAGTTTCGATTCGAAAGATTAAAAATGACAATTTAAAAAAAAAAAAACAAACAAAAAAAGAACTAAACTAACCGTAGAGAGATATAAACCGAAGCGCTTTGAAATGGTCGCAGGTTGAAAATTAAGAGTGGAAATGTGAATTTTTTTTGAAAAGCAGTTGAATTGAGAGAGATAGGGAGAGAAAAAAAGGGTGGTGGTGGTGGTGGTGGTAGTACACGTGAAGGGTGATAGCTCCCCCCCCCTCCTCGCACTCTCTCTTTCTCTGCAGTTATTCCCCTCACCCCAAACCACCCCCTAGCCACAATCCTGCTTACTGGGGTACGCGAAGCGGTGCGTGAAATTGGGTAAAAATGAATCGACGCTAGAACGCGCTATGCACTGACATTATATATGAAACTCGCGAGCAAATTCGTAGATACGTAATAGTAATAGTAATAGTAATAGTAGTAGTAGTAGTAGTGGTGGTGGTGATTGTAATTACAATAATAATATAAAAGGATGTTACCGATAAATTTAACGAGGATAACATATGCATTTTTATATTGTCCTCATCTAAATTTAACATAATTCACGTTCATTATTCTATTTCGTACAATAAAGTAAAATGACTAAATTAGAAATTACAAAAAAAAAAATAATGATTTATCCTTAAACAATATAATAAAAACTAAAAAAAAAATAAAACAACATTCGAAATGAAGACAATGATGATTAATTAATGATATAAATGAAAAACACAAGTAAATAAAATAACAAATTTAAATGATATTATTACACAAAAAGCACGCGCGTCAATCAAAACGTGTGTGTGTATGTATGTGTTAAATATAAATGAATCGATAAGTTATTTAATTAAAAACTCTCTTCTCAATTATATATAAATAATTCAAATTAACATTTATTAAATGAAAAAAAAAAAAAAAAAGATGATACATTTCTAATCATTCAGATATGAATCTTTTATCCTATACTTCAAAGCTAATACTATTCTACGTTTCCATAGTATGTTATACAACTACGATTGTATATTGTACGCATGTTACACGTCGAGAGAGTTTAGTTTATGCATCAGTTGAATCTATACACACAGACAGACATACTTATATATGTGTAACTCGTTGATCGGCTTATAACCGAAGTTCTCCTCCAATTGTGAAATGCGAATAACAAATGAGTCTAGGGTATTTTGCACATGACATTAGCAATCATAAATCATACTAACTTGCCATTTGCATGTGTTGCAAAACAAAATGATAAATAAATATTTTTTAAATATCATATATATATATATATATATATATATATATATATATATCATAATTTCTTTTCAAAAGTTTCACTGTATGCAAAATGCATCTATTAACGGGGAAAAAAAAGGTAAGAAACAAAGAAAAAGTGAGAAAAAAGGAATAGAGAAAGAAAGAAAGAGAAAAAGAGAGAGAGAGAGAAAATTATCGATAGGTCACGTGCCAATGGCACGTTAAGGGCAATCGTGACCGGATCGAGAAGGTATCGTTATCTGAAGGTATCGTATACTGATCTATGGATCGTTAATACGATCCTCGTCCTTTCGTTACGAACCGAAACTCCGAAGTAGCTCGGAAATAGAACTACTCTGCATTTTAACCTGATTACTATACATAATAGTACATACATAGATACATTACGCGCGAGTAACCGAATACGTATTCTATTCTATCCTACCGTAAGCTATTCACTTTCATAGACTGATTTAGAAAAGACCTCGTGCGAGAATTTATTTCAAAAAAAAAAAAAAAATCATTCCAATTAAAATATACTAATAAGATTGACTTTTTTAATTCTAATTTTTTTCTTTTTTCTTTTTCAATCAACTTAAAACAATTTTAAAAATGATCGAACGTATGAGTGAAAGAAAATTTTTTTATGCAAGTAACTTTTTTAATAAGTATCGTATTGCATTTTTATTATGATCTGTTTTTTTA